GGGGGGGGTTGGGGCGCCGCTCGCGGCCTTGCCACGCTCCGTGGGCCCCGGGCCCGCCGTGTCCCGGCTTCACCTCCAGCCCAGGCTCGCCCGGGTCACTGCATCGCAGCAGTTGTGCAAGTTGCCCAGATGTCGGGGTGTTTTTTTATGAGTATTCTTTTTCACCCAGATTTATCCCGATTGGGATGCTGCTGCTGCTGCTGCTGCTGCTGCTGCTGCTGCTGCTGCTGCTGCTGCTGCTGCTGCTGCTGCTGCTGCTGCTGCTGCTGCTGCTGCTGCTGCTGCTGCTGCTGCTGCTGTTGCCGCCTTGGTGGAATGGACTTGCAGTGCTAGAGGCCACCGGTTCGACTTCCCGGCGTCGCAGTTGAGACGATGGTGTTGGTTTGTTGAACTCTGTCCACTAGGCAGGGTGAATAGGGTTCGCAGTCGGTCGACATGTCGCGTGTGGTGGGGTAAAGGGTGGCTACTCCCACCTCTTCGACACCGCCCAGTCAGGGTGGAAGAGTAGGCCAAATAGTCCACAGAGGGCCTCTCTGGACCTCACTCGAGCGGGGATCCTCTCGCCAGCAGGGACGTGAACAAGAAATGTTAGAACCGCACCTTCACCATTTGACCTTTAATGCACTTTGCATATCAACTGATAAATATATAACCAAACCGAGTTGCAATGGTCACAGGTATTTAATTTGACCAGGTAGCTTACATCTGGCTATGACTAAAGCAGGTCTGTGTCCTGGAGCTATAACGCAAGCCTACAGCGTCTGTTTATTCGGCGCTGAATACACGTTCCAGTTATTTATTTTTAATTAGAGTAAAATTATTGTTCTAAATTTCCAGACTTGTTATATCATGACTTCAGCTGCTGTGACTCAGTGGCTCTGGGCTGAATGCCAACCCATCTGCTGGAAATCGCGGTCCTGCACTAATCCTGAGTGACAATTCTGTTTACTGGGAACATAAACACAGAGACACATAATTACACAAACTCACAATCTCCTCGAGACAATGCGAAGTGGAGCAGTTCGGTTGATTAACGCTTCTCTCCGTGACTCACTCGAGTCTCTCTCGTGGTATCACTGACTCACTTCTTTGTCACTTTCTTATCGCTACTACCACGGTCATTGCTCCCACAAACATTAAGCTGTGATATGTCCAACAATGGCAAGGACTCAATCATATCGACGGTTTCCTGCCGTCCGTAGGTTTAACCACCACCTTGCAGGACCACACACGTCACCTTCTCTGCTCGCAGCGCGTATCTTGAGAACTCCCTCCCATTGTAAATGTTCTCAAAGTTCCGACCTGAGATTCCGCTCATGAAGAGCACCGCACCAACAATGTGCTGTGTGACCAAGCAATTGCAAGGACAGACAAAAAGAGGAACACGTGGATTGGAGAACATTGTCTAATTAGAGGCAGCATATTGGCTGGTTCGATAAGTAAGTGGGCTCCGACGGGACACGTTGCTGAAACGCATTGTAGCCAAAAAATAAGATTGGTGACAGAATAACAGCCAAAGGAGAGAACGCACCAAGAGGAAGAGAGACAGAGAGGCTAGCGTGCGTGTATGAAGAGAGAGAGATATTGACATCACAGGGCCCATCGAGTTTGGTGGCGGTGTGGGGAGGCCTTCATTCAGCAGCGAATAGACCATGACTGTAAGTCCAGTGTGCTGCTGACCGGCACACCGCTGTGGCAGCATCCCGTGTACTGTATTTGTATATTTTCTGGAACAATCTGTCCAGTGTGTGTTGTACGTTCAGTAGTAGGTGGGTTGCCGTGATGAGTGTGGAGCTTGCGCCAGTGAGGCAGACTTCAAGTGTTTGACAGAGGCATAGTTCTGCCGGGTAACCGGTCGAGGAATCATTAAAAGTACCGAGTAGAAAATGAATACTTAATATCCTGAGGACTTTTTTGCAGCCGTGGGTAATTGCATATGCTGGCTCTGAATTAGTCACATTTGAATACGTAACACGATTTTTGTTCCTGGGTAGTAAGTGTTATTTTATAATTTCTTATTCCTCAAAAGTATAGAAAATGGCTATTTTCCACACAAACTTTGCTTTTGTGACCAGGACTTTATGTGAAGGAATGACACAAATGCACACCACGTTTTTTCTCATTGAAAATATCGAAATTTCTAAATATCACTGTTCTGGTCACAAAAAACAAAGTTTGTGGGGAATAATAGCCATTGTCTGTACCTTTGAGGCATAAGCAATTAGAAAATAACACTTACTACCCAGGAACAAAAAAATATATATTTTTTTACACAGTGATATCATCAGCAATTACCGCGTGACCAAAATAACAACGGCAATGTCCCCGCCGGTGTCGTCTCAGGGCCGGGAAGCCCTCTGTGTGCCAAGTTGTGTAGAGCATTTACCGACAGGAGGAGGCTGAGACGTGTGAGAGAGAGAGAGGTGGGTGAGTAGATACTGCATCGGAATGCCGTTGTAACCCGGGTGTGAACCGGTCTGTTGTGAGTTAGGACACAGACCTCTCCGACTCTGCCTGTCCCCCCCCCCCCTCGTCCACAGCCCACCTACATCCAGTCGGTGAAGCTGACCATCGCCTCGCATCCCCTTAATTACTTATTTTAATTATCATCATCAATACCACGTCCACATTTATCAAATCTCTTTTCGGCAACGCCCCGCACACATTCGACATTCACACGAGGCGCGCGACAGAATTGCCCCTCTGTATATTTTAATTATCGCCGGAATGCATTAAGAGTAAATTGGGTGCTCGTTTTTACAAGCACCCAGAGCCCGTGTGTGCCAACACTTTACACCGGCGGAATATTAAACAGCCTCTCTCCGCCACATAATTGCTTCTGCATGCAAATTCTAAATGGGTGCTCACGCGTCCCCTCGTATTCTATGCTAATGCGGTACAGTGGATCGCCCGCGTGGTTTGTAACGCACCCCGCATGCGTAATGCGCCGTGCGCGCGCCGCTTCAGACGGCGCTGCCCAGATATCGGCAATAGAGCGCGCAAATTCAGCCAACTTCATATTCCACTTAGGTTGGGTGGCGTTTTATTTGTGTTACCTATTAAACGAACGTGCGGTCGAACAATTAATCCTGAACACAAATACTACTACTCGATTTGAAATAAAAAACAGAAGCGCGCCTTGCCAGATGCATTTGACACATTTGTGATTTTCCCTGCCTGTCCATTTCAATAAAAGTCAATCGCAAACATGTGGCGGTTGGAGCGGAGCGATGGTGCAGTGTTTTTATGGTGCGACGGTCGCGGGGTTGACCATACTTCACCGCGCTGTGATAAGTTGTGGGTTGACGAAACGAGCTATTAGTGCCCGGCTGAGTGCCTGCCTGGCACTGGTGTCCCTACTCGGTACGACTGCTGCTCTTGTCGAGAACGCCCCACGCCGCCTCTCGCCCAGCCAGGCAGGGCTCCGCTCGCGAGCTGCGAGCCAGGCAGTCGCAGGAGTGCCGTGCTCATGCTGGGGTGGAGCGGTGGCCCAGTGGTTAGCACACTGGGCTACGACGAACCTGGCGACCTGGGCTCGATTGACATTCACGGCTAGCATCAGTAACCAGTGATGAGTACCTCCAGTACGCCTCCCTCTCTATCCTATTAATGATCGATTACCAACTCATACCGACGCGCGTGGTGAGGTATTCGCAAGCAGCCGACATTCCGGCGGAGGCAATGAGACAACGGGCTTGCGCATCGTTCCCAAGCAGTCAGTGTGCGGTGGTTACGGGTGTACTTTGCATGGGGTGGTACTGGTGTATGTTTACGCGCGGTAGTAGAGGTGTACATTTACGCGCGGTGACACGGGTGTACTTTTACGCGCGGTGACACGGGTGTACATTTACGCGCGGTGACACGGGTGTACATTTACGGGCGCCGTGCGGCGGAATAATCCGCCGCATTCCGACAGCAGCGCCGCGTCGCGTGAAGCGCCGCGTGCTGCGTGCCGGGATTAACGTGGAGCGAAGCTGCTGCTGCTGCTGCTGCTGGAGGCTGGGTGGAGCTCCCCTCCAGCCCTGAGGGTGGCGAGCGCAGCCGTGAGCGGCCGTGCACTTTCGCTTGCCAGCTCGGTGGAGACAGCGAGTCAGCGGCGCGGTCGCACAATGCCTCGCGCTCTTGCCAGATGCAGCCGCTCAAGCAGGGCGCTTGCGCGTAGCCAGGACTGGCTCAGGGGTATTGGGCTGCTATAAATGTCCACGTGATGAGCCACTTCGTTGAGCTATTATTTGTGGCCAGGTCGCTTCTGAAAAAAGAGCTATATAGCTCAGTGGGCATTACCTGGTAAAATAAAAACATGTTTTTTTAATGTTTTTTTTTTATATAATCGCGCACCGAGAGAAATCTCCCACGTACGAAGGGACAACTTACACAGATTCTGCATATATCAACAACTTACTTGCTGTGCTGACCCCGTGTGTGAACATAACATTTCAAGCCCATTCCACGGACGCCAAGAGTGGCCTGGATTGTGTGAAATTACTTTCTTGCAAGTATTCCCATGATTGGTTGCTATCTTTGCACCTGGGGCATTCAAGATAATTCATGCACTCCCTTTCATCCGGCTCGCAAAATGAACGCGGAGCAGCGCTAATGGAGACCGCTGGAGTGGACTGAATAAACACGACACGGGCAAGAGGAAACCTCACTCTCCTCTCGTGCGTCTGAGCAGTCCTCGTCTCCACTGGTGGCTGCAAGTCAGGGGAGAGACAGGGCACGGGAGGCCGTGTGTTGTAAGTCCCGATGGTCGCATCCAGAAGGCGTCCGTCCGGTTCGTACCCAGTGATGGAGCGATGAGATCAGTTCATGTGCAGGTGCTGGGTGGATTGTTGCATCGCACCATCAGGACAAAATACACATTTCCTATTGAGAAGAGGTGGCATTGACAAGCGCTGTGAAGCGTCTCAGAGAGTTACACGCTGTGTGCATTATCGCGCAACTGACAAAAAAAGGACTTTCTATTTTGACGTCGCCGGAAAGACTTATGTATTTCCCAGGACGGCCATGTCAAAAAGAGGACGTCCTGGGAAAACCAGGACAGGTGGCGACCCTTGGAGTGGTGAACGTGGAGGGGATAGCGGCTGGCATAAAGCCGCACCGTCCTTGGCACGAGCGTGCCGCGGCATCTGCGCGAGTCGGCACTCTGCTGCTGAAGTTGGCGGACTTCCCACGCCTCCTGCCGTGCCAAGGGGCAGGCGCTGGCCTCCCGGCACCGATACCTCCGCAGGCATTTCCAGGTGGTTACGCGAGACCCAAAACATTCACCACGTCCGCAGTTATTTTGTTACAAGCAGCACCGAGGTCGTCTGCGAAGGAGATGGAGCGATAAAATCATCTCGTGTTGTGCTCGGTGGATCGCAGAATCGTGAGAGTCAGCTTGGCGAGGCCTTCATCCGGCAGTGGGATGATTATGGCTGATGAGTGACTGGCATAGTCTTGTAGCTATCACGTAAAGTAACAAATCGCATGATAAAATAATATAATTATTTGTTTTATTATATTATTTAAATAATAATATTAACGATTATAAATCAGGTTACAGTGATGCATTGGTATCACAATAATGACATGGTGATCATAAACATTGTGTCAGTACCATCATGATGAAGATAATGGCTTCAGATTTCACTTGATATTTCCCATAACACTGCTAGGCCAGCTTGGTGTCGGGATTATCGGCATAAGGAACTACCACTAGAGTACAAGATACGTCTTTCCAAAATAATTCTAGTCCTGTCCCCTAAAGACATCTGGTCACGCTAAACGCTCTTCACTCACGGTTACTTAAATCTTGACTTAAGGCTTTCGTGTCTGCAGGAATTAATTTTTTGGGGTCTTTCGGTAAAGTCACGTAGATAGGTTCAAGGAAAATAACAAAAAAATATCACAAAAAACTATCGTCGTTTTTAGGAAAATAACAAAAAATAAGACAAAAAACGACCGTGTTTTTTGTGTTATTTTTTGTTATTTTCCTTGAACCTATCTACGTGACTTTACAGAAAGACCCAATAATCACGGTTACTTCCCACACCACCACTGCATTCGCCACCGCAGTATCAGAAGAACAGAAACTGGCGAGATGGATGTGGCGTGCCAGAATAATTCCCGGAACAGCCTTCAGCGCTCCATGAAATCACGCCCTGATTATAGCGATTCCAGCGCGGCTGTGATGGTAGGTAGACACTTGATCGTCCACGAGACTGCGTTTCTGTGCAGTCAATTTCGTTTTTTGAACGGTGACGAGTCTTTTTTTTGTTGTTGTTGTAAAAATGAATTCAGCAAAAAAAACATTCCATGAAACTTTGTATTGTTAGGACTCACGTCTCTTCTCATTTGCGTCCGTACTGGCAAGTTCATATTTCACCTAATTTGCTACTGTACAAATTGACAAATGTAGGATTAAATAGATCTTGATAGAAATTTCTTCATCAGCCCGTGTAAAATTTGAGGTGGAAGGCGTATAAAACAAGCAGCTCAGAGATAAAATAAATACATTTCCAATCCTTCCATGAACAATTCCCTCAACACGGAGATTAGACGTGATTATTACTCACGAACACACTGGGGAGGGGGACAGACCTGGTGCTGGTGGTCCAACATCAACCAACCAGTTACTTTCCCCTACCTCCAAAATATTAAAATCTCACTCCCACGCTGCCAACCGTGATGAGGAGCGGTGTTACCATCGCCTTGGAACGCTCACAAAGGATTACAACAACAACAATCAAAATGTGTAGCCGTGTGATTGAACGTGCGGCCGTGTCAACTGGCCGACCGCCTCTGCGAGTCTGCGACAAGCCGAGGGGCCTCCAGCTGCCCCGCTGTTGCCCAGGGGTGGCTGGCGTCCTTAACAGCGGCACTCGACCCGTGGTGTCGTGGCCACGGATCAGCGCGGGTCGCCTTGCTTTGCCCTCGACACCTTTAAACACGAGAGGAGCAGAGCACGCTTTATTCCTCGCAGATCTGGGGAGTTCTCTGCAGCCGTGCTGAGCTCGAGACAGGCTTTGTAGGAGGCAGGAATCAGAGCCAGGTTACCGTGACAAGTGGCTCCGATTCGGTGTGGTTCCATTACCGTATGTGTTTGCAGCATCGATGTGATATGATGTGATTCGTGTTACTGCCATAGTGGTGCACGTCGTGCCGACTTGCTGAGATGTGGTCGCATGTATAGAGGCAATACACCACAACTGCATTGCTTCTTAGTGAACATCACACACGGGTGGAGACCGCACGACCTGCAAAACATGTTTTAATCCGTGCAACCCTGGCCTAAATGTCACTCATCTTTGCAGGCACACTTTAACAAGTTGTCTGTCCTGTCCCGGTCAACGGACACTACTCGTGAGTGGAGAGGCATTGCCCGACTTTGAGACAACACAGACCGCTCGAGAAAAACTCGTTGGGAACATCTCCCTGCCTGTCTCGCCATTGAAGGAACACGACTGGGGGACTGGCCCGGGCGGCCGACCCCATCAGCGCGTCTGGCCCGACAGACCGCGGTGTGCCCCCCCTCCCCGTCTCCACTCCGCGGCCGACTCCGAGCAGTGTCGCTCCGAGCCCCCCCGCACGCCGCCGCCTCCGCCGCCGTCGTCAGCAGCCGCAGCTCGGACTCGCAGTCGCCACGGCAACGTCGGGCAATTAGCCGCACCGCGAGCGGTCGACGGATCGCAGGTGTAGGGCACGTGGGGGGTAGAGAGGGCACGCCGCTGATGGGCTGTGATTCACAAATCAGCGCCGTTAATGTCAGCGAAAGCGTCTGTTTATTCAGTCGGAATTGGGAATATAAATTTGGGCCGGGCGGGGTTTACATTATCAATTCATCATCATCGCCAGAAACATAATCTTCGTCATCATCATCATCGTCATTGCCATGGTCAATCCACTGCTGGATGAAGGCCTCCCCATGCCCGCCTCTCACGAACATTTCCTGCGGTGACCACGACCCGTCTCGCCCTCGCACATTGCTCCATCTCCACGGGTGCTGTTATCTCCCCACCGTGGCTGTCGTTCTGTCACAAATCTTATCCACAAGCCATCCTCCCTCCGAGCGATCCAGTCAAGGCGCTCTGTGCAAGGCAACACAACAATGTTGCACCCTTCACTAACGAGCACTGGCCAGCGTGGTGAGGCATGGTCAAGTCCCCCGCCACGACCGTCGCTCCTAATTTGTCGTACAACAAGCCTTCACTGGGCCTGTGCGTCTGTACGGAGAGCACGGTCCAGACACAATCTCCGGATTAAATCTCTAATCCTTTCACGCACAATTCCCACAACGCAGGGATTAGGATGAAATTATGGATAGGCGGAATGACACCAGGGAGGCACACCCCTGTGCAGCGCCGCTAAAGTCGAGTTAATAAAAAAAAGTTGCCACCACAATGTTAGAATGTACTGTAGCTTCAGGGGGAATTGGCAACACATCAGACACAGATGTGAACCAAGCACTGTGTACGGATGATTAAACCGGGGTATAAAAAGTTATATACATTGCCTTATTTATCCATATATATAACATTTTAAAGGATGACAGACATACATATTTGCTAGCCTATACAAAAACATACTATCGGCTAAGATATATTTACAGAAATGTGGTCATTAACAAAAGAAAAACGGAATAAAAACTGAAAAGTGTGGGTGAGAGAGCAGGTGCAGGTTAATCGCACCATTCTAACTGTTGAGAGATGTGAGTGGGATGGGTAGGACACGTGGGGGTGATGTTCGATGGCCAAGAATAATAACGGAGTGACACCCAGGCAATGGAACACGTGCGAGATTACGTTCACCGGGGAGATGGAGCGTTGGAATTGGTCCACACCGGCTTAGGGCTGTAACAGGGAGACGTGCAGCACCACAATGTTCATTTGAGCGGAACATCACTTTGACCCAACAGGCCATGAAAAATTACATACAGTACAGTAATTAATGTATTATCATTGTGTCCTAATTACAAAGATATTTACTTATAAAAAATTGGTATTTTCAATCTCAACAACACTGCCGCTTTTTGCCATCAAAGAGAACAATCGTCACGCAGAATCGTTGAGAAATTAATGTATAAGCATTAACATTTGGAAGATGAGGCATTAACATTATTTCATTTCCATCATTCTGCAGGAAGCTTGTGGGGATGGGCGACCGCCTGGAATATCAATGAAGGCTCGAGCGAAAGATCGGAGACTGTGGAGCTGCTCACGGCTGCGGAAGAGGCCACGTCGGGCCTCACCTCAGCTGCCCTCCTCTTCGGCTGCGATGCTCGGCAGTATAATTCCTTTTTAAAAAGACAAAGGTGTGGCCCTGCAATGTCTTCCTCACGCCACTGCTGGCGGAAGGGCCTCTAGAAGAGAGATCTATAGACAACCCCATGACAGCGCGGTTGGATATTTGGTTTACATTTCCACACTGGCATTGGAAGAGGTAGAAGTACCCACACTTTACCCCACCACATGCAACTTGCCATTAGACTAACTTCTACTGCTAAATGGACAAAGGCGGTGGCTGGGGGAGGCGGGATTTTGGACTCTTGCCCCATTGTTTCAACTGCCGTGCCAGGAGATCGACTCTGGCTGGCCACCTCTGATTTGCAATTCAAATGCGTCAACCACTCCAGCGCGGCAGCGTCCCTTTAACTCCTTTAACAGAAGAAATGGCATGCGCAATTCACGTCGCAATCACATAACCCCAAAAGTAAACAAGACACATAATTCACGTAATCCTATTTGATTTAAGTTGCCACATTATTGTTGGTAGATTGGGCAAACCAAAGTAAACATGACAGTACGTCTTCCAAAGACAGCGTACGTGGTTGTTGCGAATTAAAGGGCATGGGACTGCGGTATTTACAAAGCATGGAATGGTTGACTCGCCACGAAATTCTGTCACCACAATTCAGCCTCGCAATTCAATTAAACAATGTATCATTTGTATATCTTGCTTTTACACTCTCATTCCTATTCTCAGTGCTTTGTTTGCAGTTGTTTCGCTCTTTAACTGTTGCCATAAATGTAATATTACCATTGTATGTGTATACGATTAGCGCGTTTGGCTACATATGGTGCCAAATAAATTCAACGTACATACATTTACATAATTCCAAATGCATGTATCATGGGCAAGAATGATTGATTGATGAAACGTTACACCCTTAGTATCGACCAATGATACATTTACTATTTCAAATGTCGACACAAATTCGCTGAATAAATAATAATTAATATTTTCATCTATGTAGAGCAAAAGAGAACAGCAGGGTCGTGAGCAGTAATGCCTTTGCCAGCTCCACGCGGATCTCCGTGCACACGTGGACGTTTCTCGCTTCACTTCTTGCTGGATCCCGTCTTTGGTCCAAAATTGACAGGTGACATTTCATCGACATTCCACCCTACGCCCACAGTGTTGACCGCTGCTATTGATGTGCGCGGGCCGTGGCATGCACAGTGACACTGCACGCGTTCTCACTGAGCCGGCACAGTCAGATGCTTGTTATCCCCGCAATCCCTAATGCAATATGATACGATAAGATCTGGATTTATATAGCATCTCAATACAACTGCATCCCAAGACGCCGTACAAAAACCGCGTGACGTGTGCGCCATGCGGATGCGATGCACAGGACCCTGTGGTCTGTAGCGCAACACGACCAGAGACAAGAATTACTCTTTGGCTAAAACGAATCTTTAGTCAAACGTTAACATTAACAAGGTAAACTGAAATGATCCCAATGAGAGATGCATTTAGCCATGGCTTACATTTTTTGCTCGATATTTTCTGGAATGCTGCTAGGGCCAGCTTGGAGTCTGAATGATTGGCATAAGGCACTACCACTACCGCATATCCATAATAACACCCTGGCCACCTTGCAAACGGGATGTTTCATCTCAAGGGATTTTTCCAGCCAAATTATATTATTTATGAATACAAATTTAACAAGAAAATCTATTATATTATTGTACCCTATATACCGATGAACAGGTCTATAAAAAATCATGAGGACAAAATAAGGTCAGATGGATGTGGCGTGCCAAAATTATTCTTGAAAAAGCGTTCTGGACTGTTGCAGCTGAAATGAAGCCCTGCAATTAGAGCAAAAAGAGGAGATAGTCCAGCTCGGATGTCCCCTGCTCAGGCTCCAGTTTAGTTTCAGTAGTTTAGTTTCGGTAAATAGTTTCTGTTTGCATCATTTGCCACCGTCCTCCACTGCACTCTGACCTCTCGAGGAAGGGATTCACATCCGGGAGGAACCGGCCGAACCAGTGTCCAAGATGTGAGACAAACCCCGAAGGGGACCCGAGACAGAACGTCACAGTTTGTGTTTTATTTTTTTATTTACTTATTTATTACGCTTGTTTATCCAGGAAAGCCTCACTGAGTCTCACGACTCCTTCCTCAAGAGGGTCCTGTCACACACTGGCCGACGCTTGCGAATGATGCCCCGGGATCTTGAATGTCCACCGAGAAGCGGACGGCGCGCGTTTAGTTGTGGTTATCACACCCGCGGTAATGAAACGCCCGGCGCCGTGAAGCGACAGAATGAGTTTGTGAATTATGGAGGGGGTCGCGTCGCACAACTCCCTGGATTGGAACCGCGAACCTCTGTGACAAATGGCAAACAACAGGCCAGCGCTCGGCCGCTGCACCGCCCATTGGCTAATGTACGGGGCGCCCGTGAGAGGCATGGGTTCGCGCATTTGCCTCGCTTCATAAGGCGAGTACAGTCAACACACTCACACAGAGCACATTCAAATGCCAAGCGTGAATACATCAAAAGAAACAATTCTTGAGATGTGACAAGCAGAGCTCTAATAAAAACCACCATGTTTACAGGGCGTGGTGTGACGAGCTGATGTCGTCATGGTTTCTACAACACACAAACACATGCACTGCATGTACGAAACACATCTCAGCCTTAAGCGTTATGCAAAAACACCAGTTCCTGAAGAACTGCATTGTGATCACCTTGCCTAAGTCGCCAACAATAAAACCGAGCAAATATGGAAATTCTTCAGGAACTGATGGTGTTGCATAACGCTTAAGGCTGAACATTTTTTGTACACAGTGCGCGTTTTTACTGTGTTGTTGAAAATATTCGTTTTCAAGTCTGTACTAATTTCTATGCTGTGATAGGATTTCTCGTCGTTTACAGATTTGAATCGTCGTCATGGCTTCAGACAAGTGTTTGGAGAGTGCCATCCAGATGCATATATTTGTAGGGTTCTCCTGTCTGTGGCCGGGGGTGATTAATCACCACCTCAAAATGTAACTCAGCAGCGTTAATACCTTGGCAAGGGTTTTCGAGCATAATCTCAATCGCATGATGGTAATTCTGAATTGTGCATGTGTAGCCCTTTATGCATCCAGTGCTGGATGAGGGTCTCCCCACGCCGTGCGGGTCATGGGGCTTTATTTGACCATACTTCACCATGCCGGTCAGTGTGGATTGGTAAATAAATGGATGTCTCTCTGCTCTCCATAACATAACCTCTAAGCAAAGTTATTCAAAATGACACTTAAGCTGTATAGTAAGTAAATAATCATTCGTCGACCCATCGATTATATTCAATCGTGTACAATGCACGTGTAAAACAATCAATCACTCTATTTTAGAACAGTACAGGGTGATTGTTCGTAATTGCTGAAATTGGGACCCTTTTACTTCTCGACACAAGCTCACAAGTCTGCACATGTTCTGAGACGCTCGATTAAATTTCTCTGGCAGTATATGTCACTGATCACATGGGCTATTGGCGTCTCCCATTTCATCCAGGGCGTGAGGATTGCTTGCGTGGACTTGAAGATTCAAAACACAGCCCCCTGTCAATAACCCTCCCGTCTTGTATGTGTTAAAGGTACTGGAATTGGTTCACGTAAACACCGCAGCCACTGGAGGTGCTACGTTCACCACAAATTACAAATATAATCTATTCTCAAATCCACTTGCAGCAACCTTAAATTGCGACAATCTCTCCTTAAAATGTTCCATTTTGACCCCCATGCATTTGAAACCCTTAACTGCCTCCTTTCTCTCCTTCCCTTGCCCGCTGCCTATAATAATAACATTAGTCCCTACTATTTTTTGGGTCTTTCGGTAAAGCCACGTAGATAGAAAAATAATTACAAATATTACGACGTTTAGATCGCAACAAGATGGATCATCATCAGGTGAAAGAATATAGCAGGAGAGCTGCTGAGGCAGGATGTTATAGAGGTTTGAGATGGTTGTAGCCCAAGGGTCATAAGCGAAGTGGGCGGGGCTAGAGATTAAATTTGCGTGTAAATATAAGATCGGAGAGCTGAGCTACCTCCACGACGACGAAGCTGTGGAGGTGGCCATTGTATTGTGAGAGATTAGCATGTCAATGTAAAAAAAGCGAAAACCACCGCCGCATCGAGGAAAACGAGCGAAGGTGGCTGTGTTAGTGAGATATTAAGCCCGTTAATGTAAAGACATTTAACCTGGTAATGTAACTCAGAGTCGAAAATAACTGCTAACTTCGGCAGGCTGGATGGAAACATCACAGCCAGTTATGACTTAAACTGGTTAATAACGTCCTTCCAATGATTGCTCAGTTTGTACCCATCTTCTCGGTTGAAATTGTGTCTGTGTTTATATATCTGGATGGCTTCATGAAGGAATCTTTGCTGATAGCCAGTGGGTTTGCAGAGTACCTTCGTCTTGGAAAAACAATGATCATCCACGGCTGAGGTATTGGTCCTACCGTGTTGCAGATCTGCCTTATGTTCACGAACACGGTCCGAGACATGTCGCTTAGTTTCCCCAATGTAACTGCTGCCGCAGACACAGCTTAGTTTGTAGACGCCGGGGTATTGCATGTCAGGGATCCCATCCTTCACAGATGGGATCAGATCACGAATTGTATGTACGGTGTTGAATCGAACCTGGATCTTGTGTCAAATGATGGAAAGAGACGAGACAAATCTCCACAAGTGACACCAAAGGTTCCGCTGGCATGGCCTGAACGCCACGCAGTTGGCTACTCACCCGCTCCACAGTTCCCACGTGGGACGCAACACTCACAGGTGTTCAAACTTGTCTTTCTTTTATGTTTTGTTTCTCACTTAAAAGTGGCGAGGTCAAGCAAGTCGCTGCAATGTTATGGAATAAATACCGTTTCACCTCAGCGTGTCCAAGCTTTGTGAAAACAAGCAGAGTGGCGATTGAGATGCAGCCTATTGCGAAAATAGCATGCATTGCGAAACTGAATAGGGAAATAAAAACATTTAAACCGCGGCCTTTGGCACCCACCCAGACTATTAAAGTTGGTGATTTCAGTGTTTAGGATTGTGGTGCATGAGAAGTTCTTAGGTTGACACTATAAAAGCCATCTCATGTGCAGCTACAGTACGTCAGTGCAGAGTGAAAAGGAAATAATCTGTTACGTTACAGTATGAGGTTTTCTGTAAATAATCTGATAAATGATTGTGATTGAGCAACATTGCTCAATTTTAATTATGCTTTATTGTATTGTAACATTTAAATATATACGCTAAAATGGTATTCTGTACATATAATACATCTTTAGAATATGACATGCTCAGCCACACTGCAACTACCCTTGAATTTAAATGTAACAGCTGATACAGTATAGAAGTAGTAACGTAATACCAATGACTGAACTGTCCCCTATATCACATATCACTGTGGTTAAAGTGCAAATATGTCCCTATAGCTTGTGAATATCTGGTATTATAGTGCACTTTGGTTGAGAAAGAGCAAGGGATCGTGATTTGGATTCGTGCTGAACTTACGTGAAAATATTGTACGTAAACGTCACAGGACCCACAGTAACCCAACATTTAATCTGTCAGATGTTTCATTTGTTTATTGTGAAGTCTAGTGAAAACTATAAATCAATAGTCTGTCGCTATGCATGAAAATCAGCAGCTCACAACACACAAAACATGTGGAGCTGGGGAACATTGAGCTGTGTGTTAACAAAGTGCGGAGAACCCCTTTGCCATTCACCATGATAATCACAGCAATGAAACATTGATAAAGCTACGATTCTTTTGGTACAATGTTCACGGAAATAGTGAATTTGAATGTTTATGAAATATTCGAATGGCACCAGCCCCACCTTATTACATGAGTTTCCAATAATTATTGTTTTTTTCCCTGCCTCAGCCGTGAATTTCACTACAAATTACCACGCCTAGGCATTGCACATCGAAGGGGGCATTACAAACACAGGAGCCATTTGCCTCATTTGTGCAACCTCAAGCTTCCTGTCTTAAGGCGTCCCCAAGGCACACATTACCATTTTTTTCCATGACATTTCCCCAGTGTTTGTGTCTCCTAACCCCTAACCAATGTCCTAATTATGCTCCGTTGCTTCCATGTCCCATTGTCAACCTGGCCATGAGCACCTGTGCTCTCCTATCCTTGTGCCAACATCCACAATATATCCCTCATAGCTTAATGTCATTTTTTCCCCAGTCTCTTGCTCAATTGTCTTCATGCTCGTTTTCTTATATTGCCTCAATGGCCTCATTCCTCTCAATGTCAGATGTATTTCATGTCCTCATACGCCTTGTCTCAATGATTGGCCTCCAAACCCAAGTGTCTTAAAATTCACTTGTCTTCATAACTCCATAGCTACAAATGGCCTCAAGTTTATAATTTCTCCACACCTCAAATGCCACCAGATAATTGCATCTAATGTCCTCTTGCTCCCCTGTTTAATGCCCTCACATTCATATACCTCAGTGAACTGCCCTCATACCCTAATGCCTGATGTGCCTCTTCCAAAATGTGCAATCATCACTGTGACCCATTGGTTCCATTCCTCATAGTCCTAAAACCCTCAGATCCCACTGTCTCCAATGTCCTCATTTCCCATTTCTCTATCAAGGTCTCTAATGTAATCCCCCCATGTTCCAATGCCCATCATGTTCCAATGCCCCTCATGTTCCAATGCCCCCTCATGTAATCCCCTCATGTTCCAATGCCCCCTCATGTAGTCCCCTCATGTTCCAATGCCCCCTCATGTAATTCATTCATGTTCCAATGCCCCTCATGTAGTCCCCTCATGTCCCAATGCCCCCTCGAGCCCCCGTCACCGAGCCCCCTCACGCGCCGTGTTTTTTTATTTCCCGCGCTTTTCGGGCGTCGCGCGGTCTCGTACGAGCGGGGGGGGGGGCTCGCGATCGAAACGACCACGTGATCGGCCTCCCAGCAAATGAGCGCGCGGTATTGTCCCCCACACCCCTCCCCCCACCGCCTCTCGCCCCCCCCCGCCTGCCCCCCTCCCCCCGGGGTGGCGGGCGCCGATGGCCGTGCCTGGCGGGGAGGCCGCGCCGTTACTCCGCGACTCGCGCGCGTCGCACGGCGGTGCTGCGTTGAGGGGGCCCCCGCATTTGCAAGCGCTGCCCTCGCCGTGACGCCGATTGACATCCCCGCCCGCCCGCGCGTGCGATGACGAAGACGGCAACGACGGTGGGAGGTGGACACGAAGCGGCGCCGTGAAAGCCGTGACAAAACGACGACGGAGGAGGAGGCGGCGGCGGCCCCCGGTGAGTGAGTGCGAGGGCGGCGCTGTCGAGGCGGCAAGCCTCCGGGGCCGCTCGAGAATGCGCGCGCCCAGGAGAGAGCCGAGCGAATGAGCTGGGGTCCATTGCCCGAAACGTCTCCAATTATGTTTGTGTGTTTTGTTGTTAAATAAACTTATTGAATGCATCGCGTCGTTATGTTTCGCGCCCGTCTATCGCTGCTCAGGCGCACCGAATCGATGGTTTGTATTTAGCAGCGCGGATGCGCGGCCACTGCGGCACCGCGCCCTCTCACTGGTCCGTGGCGCGGCCCGCGGCCAATGGGAGCGCGCCGTGCGCGTCACGTGCGCACGCGCTCCCCCGTGCGCGCTGGGGAATGTAAAAGCGCGGTGTCGTGGGCCCCCCCTTCCTCGTCCGCCTTTGTTTCCCCACTCCCCCCTCCGTTCTGTCGCGCTGGGGAAACGGGCTGTCGCGTCGGCCTCGTTTCCCTCTCGCACCGCCGAGCGGAGGAGGGAGACCGAGACCGGCTTGCGAGGGGAAACGGTCCAATCGGCGCGATCCCGCGTGGCACGTGACGCGTTGCGGGGGACGCGAGACACGTGGAGAGGGAGGAGGCGCAGGGTGCGTGGGAGCGGAGAGTGGGAGATGAGGTTAGGTAGGAGATGAGAGGGTGAAGGGGTGGGAGATGAGAGGGAGCAGCAGGGTGGTTAGGTAGGAGATGAGAGGGTGAAGGGGTGGGAGATGAGAGGGAGCAGCAGGGTGGTTAGGTAGGAGATGAGAGGGTGAAGGGGTGGGAGATGAGAGGGAGCAGCAGGGTGGTTAGGTAGGAGATGAGAGGGTGAAGGGGTGGGAGATGAGAGGGTGAAGGGGTGTGAGATGAGAGGGTGAAGGGGTGGGAGATGAGAGGGAGAAGCAGGGTGGTTAGGTAGGAGATGAGAGGGTGAAGGGGTGGGAGATGAGAGGGTGAAGGGGTGGGAGATGAGAGGGAGAAGCAGGGTGTTTAGGTAGGAGATGAGAGGGTGAAGGGGTGGGAGATGAGAGGGAGCAGCAGGGTGGTTAGGTAGGAGATGAGAGGGTGAAGGGGTGGGAGATGAGAGGGAGCAGCAGGGTGGTTAGGTAGGAGATGAGAGGGTGAAGGGGTGGGAGATGAGAGGGGGCAGCAGGGTGGTTAGGTAGGAGATGAGAGGGTGAAGGGGTGGGAGATGAGAGGGGGCAGCAGGGTGGTTAGGTAGGAGATGAGAGGGTGAAGGGGTGGGAGATGAGAGGGAGCAGGGAGGTTGGGTGAGGAGGGGGGATAGGAAGACCATGGAACTGGGACACGTGGTACAGCAGCAAGGGCCAGGATGGAAGCAGGAGGCTGATATCTTCCAAAGGATGTCACGACATTTCATGGTTTTAAATATGACCCTACATAAATAAAAGTAACATAAAATTTGCTTATTTGGTAATTAACAATAAAATACCAAACGTCGTAGGGGTCGCGCCCTTGATGAACGAGAATGCAGACCAAATCGCGTGGAACGAGCTCAAATGTGAAATGTAAGCAGTCTATGATAGCTACTGTCGGTTTGATAATTATTCGACTTATCGGATACCACTAAAACACGTTCCTTCGGAGTAGGCAGGTCGGAACTTGGTTGGACAGCGCATTCGTGCACGACATAAAGCTCGCGGTCACGTGATGCACTTCAACCAATCCAGGAGCGTACATGTTTGGGAGGGGCTATATACGACAGACAAATAATCCCTGGTGGGCAATGTGGAACTGTTGTTCCTCCCTCTATTATTCAACTCTTCTCCCAGGTTGAGCCACTACTTGGTGACTTCATCAGCACCGTCTGCATCACGCTCGGCGTGCCCCCCCCCCCCTTTCGGAGGCAGGAAATTGGAGTGTGTTTGACATAAAACGGGTCACTAATTGGTATCATCAAGAATCGTTGCAGCCCTACATGGATGGAAACTGAGCTCAGAACGGAAGGTACCAGATACCACAATGTGGGATCAGCGGCCAGGATACGTGGGGCCAGGAATTAGGCCAAAGTGGGACTGAGCAACGGGATGGATGGGACAGGATGCAAGCACACAGAGGATCCATCCCATATATTTTTAGTTTTACGGAACAAATGCACGCGTTGGCTGGGTAAGATTGTGGATCAGTTATTTTAAAAAGGTTGCTTAGTACCAAGTTGTAAGCAAATCAGTATGTTAAAAACTATACTGTACTAATGATGGGCTGATCATAGTGACACTGGTATATATTTACGTCATTCTATTCCTGAAAAGTAGAATATTTTAAGGGTGTAATTTTTTTCCGGTAGTTCACGGTAGCAATAAGGTTTGTGTGGGTTTATTACATCAGTGGCAATCACCTCACCCTAACTACACTTAAGCTCATATTCATACAGAGCATGCGTTGTTTTCGACACCCAAACCGCATTGGTCACGAGCGTTTGAGTTGTGCTCCCGGCGAGGAGGTGCGGGATGTAAGATGCAGCGCGTGACCTGCCCGCCCCCCCCCCCCCACGTGCTTCAGATTTCGAGTCACGCGACAGTCTTTTGCACTCTAAAACCATTATAAGTGGCTAAAAACATTCCCCGATTGTCAAACAGACGATGCTTGTTTTGTAATTGTTTTACTCTTTTGTAATTGTAATGCCATACTTTGGGTCCATTTGTTCAGTCGAGCAAGATGTGTATGTTCCAGCCAAATAAAATGTTCGCCAAACTCATGACCAGAGTGAACGGAAACTGAATAATGACCATGAGCGTCGTTGTGGAGATTATAAGTAAAATATCTGCCTCACCGTTAAAAGAAATTGAAGTAAACGAGCAACCCCCACGTCCTTTGGGCGGACGTCACTATAAATGTACAAGTCTCAACGCTGTGCGCTGCGGGTGACGTCAGGCAGATATGTACTGTGACGTCACCACAGGCAGGCAGTGAAACTTTTTTGTGTGTAGTATAACGAGTGTGAAAACATCCACTTGGCCACAGGTACAAATGTACACAGATATGCATCAGCACATACGAATTTCCCTCGCGTTATGCTATAGATAGATGCCTTCCAAAAAAGGGTTCACAAAGCGAAATCGTGTAGCATAGGCCGCACAAGTCACCCAACCCACAATTTTGGTAGAAATAGGTCAGCCGCATAGACGTGGAATCGCGCACACGGAACCCGCATGAAGCGAGGGAAACCTGGAGAGCATTTCCCTCCTGACCCACCACATCCCAGTGGTCCCTATGGCGCCACTGCCTGTCTGGCCTACGCCTGCCTTCATCCAGCAGTGGAATAATTATCACTGATGATAAACTGCCTAAAAAAATATTTAAGTCGTGCAGGAGAATATGGTTTAGCTTGACATGCCTATGACATTAATTATAGATGCAGTACACTAATTTGTATTCCGGCTGTAAAATGTATTTGAAAGAAAATGTTATGGTTATGGCAGTTTTAGTGGCAAAATATTGCAATAATATATATTTAGGGCCTTTCCATAACATTTGTCAGCATATTTATGCATGCTTACTAACTTAATGCTCACAACTTCCACCTTATTTACAAACGTTCTAGATATATATTTAAGTATATTTGCCATTAATTATTTGCCCACGAAGAAATACTAAACGATGGTCCATGCTTGCATTGTCTGTTGCTAAAAGATACGTCGTTTATTGTCACACATCTATTCCCATTATGGTTTCTGTACCTTATGAGAATTATAATTGGTCCAACTTTATCTTAACAATGCAATTGCAAGCCCGTCAATATGCTCTGTGCATGCCGATTTGCAGCACACTGAAAAAACGATGTACATTGTCGCATCGAGTTGGTAACAGGTGCCATAACAGCTACGATAATAGTGCACCTACAGTGCAAGATTCGCTTCTGGATTTAACGAGCTCCCTGTATAATACAAAGTGCGTCAGTCTCATTACTGCGAACAGGGCTCTCTCGTTAACTCGGTCTCAAACCAACTGTTTTCGCGCCGCGTGTGGCAGGCGAGATTTTCTGACCACTTTTTGTTAATTGCCCGTTGCCTCGGAAACACGGCAATCACGGGAAATGGATTGTGCTTCCCCGTTGCCTTTAGTTTGTACAGCGTTTTTTGTTGTTGTTGTTGAGATCTGCTTGTGTAAATGTACAGCAATTTTCACAATGAGCCACGAATACCAAAACCATTTATTCTATTTTATTCACGCTTAAGACTATCTGGCTGCAAAATGTCAGAATCGATCTTCCTAAGACCTCTTCAGCAGAAAATCCCATTCCTCACCATCGCTACCCTTGTCTGAGAAAACGACATAGCTCTCACCCCTCAAACATCCCACCTCCCTAACCGCAAATACATGGTCATAGATCGTCCTTGATCTTTTGCCTCATTTGTCCTACATGGGCTGGCCCAAAGAACGCACTTGAGCCAGGCGAAGACAAAGACAGCTTGAGTCCTCATACGCGTGTTATTTTTAAATGTAAACTAGTAGATAGTGACCTGTACATGTAATCGTAATTATGTATCAATTTACTATACCCCCATGTGCCCCACAAAATAATTGTCATGGTTGTGATTTGAGTCATGAATCCTTAGAACTACCCCCAAACTATGGTGAATGGTTTTGCAGAATATTTTACTTGATGCATTATGAGTGTAACAATCGATTTGAGTAGATGAATCATGAAATGCCTCGTGAATAGTCTGTCCTGAGCTTGAGAATACGGATTTTTGGCCTAAGGGTCCAACCCAGAAAATCCTAAGCACTACCCTAAGCCCTTTCAGCACAATTACATGTGTTCAGGATCAGTGGTTTTAAACTGAGCGACGTCATCAAGAGACCAGTGTGTTTCATAACACAACATCTCTGAATTTACTCACATGCCCAACCTATTTAGCTTGGTGCAAAAAATGTTTCTTCCAGTGTGATATGAGAAGCATAGGTGCACACACGTGTAACATATAACGATATATTGAGTGGACAAGATGTTTCCCTCTTTTGCTGTTTTCTTAAGTCGCGCTGCAACCTA